TAATTGTACTCATGAGGAACCTGTACATAGATCAGGAGGCTGTTGTTCAAACAGAACAAGGGAACACTGCATGGTTTAAAATCAAGAAGGGAGTGTGTCAGGGTTGTACCCTTTCACCATACTTATTCAACTTGTATGCTGAGCAAATAATTAAGAAGCTGGATTATATTAAGAAGAACCATGGCATCAGGATTGGAGGAAGAACCTGTGATATGCAGGTGACACAACTTTGCTTGCTGAAAGTGAGGGTGACTTGAAGCACTTACTGATGAAGATTAAAGACTGTATAGATTACACCTCAATATAAAGAAAATAAAAATCCTCACAACTGGTCAAATAAACAGCTTCAAAATAAATGGAGGAAAGTTTGAAGTTGTCAAGGACTTCATATTACTTAATCAAAGATCTATGTGTTTCTTTGTAGAAAATAACAATCAACACCAATGGAAGCAGCAGTAAAGACATCAGATGACGTATTGCATTGGGCAAATCTGCTGCAAAACACCTCTTTCAAGTGATGAAGAACAAAGATGTCTCTTTGAAGACTGTTGTTGTTGTTATGTGCCGTCAAGTCGGCCCCAACTCATAGCGACCCCTCCTTGGGTTTCCGAGGCAGTATCACTACGGAAGTAGGATTGCCCAACCTTCCTTCCGAGGAGTGGCTGGTGGGTTTGAACCGCCAGCCGTCTGGTTAGCAGGCAAGTGTCTTAGCCACTATGCTACCAGAGCTCCCTCCTTTGAAGACTAAGGTGTGCCTAATCTAAGCCATAGTATTTTCAATCACCTCTTATGCATTTGAGAACTAGATAATGAATAAAGAAGAGCAAAGAAGAGTTGATGCCTTTGAGTTGTGTTGTTGCAGAAGAATGCTGAGAGTATTATGGTCTGCTAAAAGGACTAACAAATCTGTCCTGGAAGAAGTGCAGCCAGAATGCTCCTTGGAAGCGAGAATGGCCAGACTTCGTCTCACCTATCATGCTTGGTAAAGTGGAGGGTCAACAAAGCCGGGAAAGACCCTCAACAAGATGAATTGGCACAGTAACTGCAATGATGGGCTCAGGTATAGCAAGATCGTGAGGCTGGCACAAGGATCACGAGGCTGGCACAGGACCAGGCAGTGATTCATGCTGCTGTGCATAGGGTTGCTATGAGTCAGAGACAACTCGATGGCACCTAGCAACAACACAGTCATGTGAACCAATCCATATACATATATGAATTGGTTTCTCTAGAGAACCCCAAAACAGACACTTACTAGCTATGCAGTCTAAGGCAATTCAGTTAACAATAACAACAGTGCCTACCTCTTAAATTTGTTTTAAATTAGTACACATAAAATGCTTACAAAAGTGACTGGCACAGTTAGCACTTAGCAAAGTTCAGGTATTATTATTGTCAGATGTAAAATCAGTAAGATTTGGCAACTAGTTAAACGTAACAAGCAAGGGAAAAGTAGTTGAAGATGCTCATCAAAAGAAAGGGCAGATACTCAGAATTATTAGTAGTAGCTGGAAAACAACAGGAAAATGTTGAGAAATAATCTACAAAAATAAGTGACCTATAATCTTCAAAAGTGTCAAGGAAACACTGAGGAACTGATCCATGCCAAGAGACCAGAAGGGCATGACAACCAAAGGCAGTGTGTGATTCTATGAACTTGCTTCATTGACTTCAGAAGACTTTATTGGGACAATTCAGCTGAAATTTGAGTGGCATCTGAGAATGTGGTTGTGTGGGAGGATGGATGTGTTTCTTTGTAGAAAATAACACTAACTGTCCTGGGGTGATGAAACATCAAATCAGCAACTTGTTCTCAAATGTTTCAGAAAGGTCCTTGTGCTGTACTTACAACTCTTCTGTAAGAATGAAACCATTTATTTTAAAAAGTAATGGCTTGCGTTTTTTTAGCGCTATGTATCAGGCACTGTAGTCAGTGCTTTGCACATGAGCAGGGTGAGTGGATTCAGTTCCCCCAGGAAACTTCCATGACTTGCAACCCTGTGAAAGTGGGGTCCTGTGCCCTCCTCTGGACTGAACTCCTCACCACTACACCACCATATAGTAATTGACTTGTTTTTCTGTACTGCCACCTCTTGCCGTAGACACTATGCTCTTTGAAGCTAAGGACTCTGATCTGATTCATACTTCTCAGCACATCTCCTTGTATATAAACAAAACAACAATTCAACTCATAGCAACCCCTCCTTGGGTTTCCAAGGAGGTATCGCTACAGAAGTAGATTGCCCAGTCTTCCTTCCAAGGAATGGCTGGTGGGTTTGAACCACCAGCCCTCTGGTTAGCACTCAAATGCCTTAGGCACTATGCCACCAGAGATCCTTGTATATAGTAAGTATTCAATACATGCTTGGTAAGTGAAGCATTGGGGTGCCAGATTTGGGATGCATGACTAACAACATGATTTCTTTTCAAGGTGGCCCTGGCTCTGGCAAAGGCACACAGTGTACAAAGCTGGTGGAAAAATATGGATTTACACATCTCTCGACTGGTGAGCTTCTGCGTAATGAGCTGTCATCAGAATCTGAAAGAAGCAAACTGATCAGAGACATCATGGAACGAGGAGACCTGGTGCCCACGGTAAGCAACACCACCTGCCTTACACAGCTGCCATTCATGGCTGGAGAAATATCTTGGAGTCTTGTAATTAGTCTAAGCTTCTGGCACAAAGAAACTCAAAGGCACAATAGCTGTGCTTTATTTCTCTGCTATTTAAAAATGCAGAGGCAGGTAGGAAGTCCAAAGCAGATAGTACCTCTGCCCTACTCAGTCATCCAGTTGTCTCAGTCACCTTGTTCTCTGCTGGTCCCTTGAGTGTTATCCTCACCAAAATGGTAGAAGCTGGGTCACCACCATCACATCCACATTCCAGCTCCATGAAGGGGAAGAGAGAGGAAATGAACATCACACAATTTCTTTTTAAGGAAATGACCCAGAAATTATGTACTTTTGCTTGCCACACCTAACTGCAGGGGAAACTGGGAATACAGAAATACAGTCTGTCTCTGAGCATCTAGGTGCCCTATTAAAACTTGGGGTGTGAAGGAATATTATGTTACTAAACAGAGAAGAGGAAATGGGTAACGGATAACTGTCATTTTCAGAAGGGAGGGAGTTCAGCTTCCCCAAAACTTCTATGCATGTCTTTGAAACTTAACTCCCTTTAACAAGGCACTGAACTCTTCATTTTACTCAATCTGAATGCTGAGCAAATAATCTGAGAAGGTGGATTGTATGAAGAAGAATATGGAATCAGATTGCAGGAAGACTCATTGACAACCTGCATTATACAGATGATACACTCTTGCTTGCTGAAGTGAAGAAGACTTGAAGCACTTACTGAGATGAAGATGGGTTACACCTCATCACAAAGAAAACAAAAATGCTCACAACTAGACCATCAAATAACAACATGATAAACAGAGAAAAGATTGAAGTTGTCAAGGACTTTATTTTACTTGAATTCACACCAACACCATAAAAGCAACAGTCAAGAAATCAAACAACATATAACATTGGCTGAATCTACTGCAAAAGACCTCTTTAAAGTACTAAAGAGCAAAGACATCACTTTGAGAACTAAGCGGCGCTTGACAAAATCCAATGTGTTTTCATTTGCCTCATGTGCATGGGAAAGCTGCACAACAAACAAGGAAGACCAAAGAAGAATTGATGCCTTTGAATTATGGTGGCATTTTCCCTTTCCCTAGGACCTTCCACTGGCTCCCCACCACACTTGGAATGAAATCCAGAGTCCTTTCTATGGCCCACAGAGTCCCTGGGTGCTGTAAACATCTCACGTGCTTGGCTACAGACCACCCAAAGATGACTCAGAAGAAAGGTCTAGCTGTCAAAAACTCAGTCATTGAAAACCCTATGGAGCATAGTTCTAATCTGGCATACGTGAGGTGGAATTGAATCAAAAACTGGTTTGGGGTTTTTTGTTTTGTTTTTGCTTTGTTTTGTCCCATGGCCTACAAGACCCCACATCCTCTGGCCTCTGACTCCCTCTCCAACTTTATTTCCCACCACTCTCAACTTGCACATTCCCACCCAGCCACTGGCCTCTGGTCCTCCCACAGACCGGGCTTCTCCTGCCTCAGGGCCCTTGCGCTTGCTCCTTCCTCAGCCTGAGTGCTCTTCTTTCAGTCAGTCACACAGCTTGCTCCTTTTCTTCATTCACATTTGTTTGAATGTCACAGTTTATCAAAACATGTTCTCTCTAACCACCCTATCTGAAATAGCACCTCCAGCACTCTGTGTTTCTTTGCCTTGCTTTTATTTTGCACAGCAGTTATCTCTAGCTAACTTTTCATTATGTTTTTGTTTGTTCATCATTTTCTGTCTTCCTCACTAGAAAATAAACTTCATGAGGAGTTAATTCACAATTATCTAGGAGTAGATTCATACCACCCTTCTGATGGGATGACTGCATCCCACAAGCCTCTGCCAAAGACCAGAGGATGCCAGGGAGCCAGAGACAGGAATCCCACTCATTTTGGCAGCTGATTGCATTTTTCCTACATTTATTCTCAAGCTTCCATCTCTCTTTCATTTTCCACAAGCCTGTATTAAAATTAACAGAGAAAACAATGTTTTTAAAAGATAATGCTACTTAACATCTACTAAAAGTCTTCTCAAATAACTGGATGTTAAATACTATAAAACGTTTACTGGAAAAAGACTACCAGTGAAATACATTTTATACCATTATTTGTCTAATTTTAAAACTATCATTTTAAATCATCCTAATTCATGGATGGCCACCGTATGAAATACAGCTACCATATTTCATCTAATGTAAGATGCTGTCTATTTTAAGACTAAAACCAACACTAAACTCACGACCATTGAGTCAAATCTGACTCACAGTGACCCCTCCTTTAATTTCTGAAGCAGTATCTCTATGGAAGTTGATTGTCCAGTCTTCCTTCTGAGGAGTGGCTGGTGGGTTTGAACCGCCAGCCCTCTGGTTAGCAATCAAATGCCTTAAGCACTACTCCACCAGAGCTCATTTTAAGACACTCCTGTAAAAATATACCAGTAAGAAAAAATAGTAACAATTAAACTATGTGCCAGCACTGATTACCAGATACCTACCAATTTCATAGACATTAAAAAAAAGTAGGACTTAGAATTGATGAAATATGGTTTATTGCTGTCTTTTATTAATCTTAATTGAATCTTTTCCTCCTCTCTAATGAGTAGATTCTGGAGTTTCTGAGTGGTACAACAGTAAATGCTTTCAGCTGCTGACCAAAAAGTTAGAGGTGCGAGTCCACCCAGAAGTACCTCAGAAGAAAGACCTGGTGATTTACTTCCTAAAAATCAGCTCTGAAAAATCTATGGGGCACAAATGTACTCTGACACACATGGGACCACCATGGGGCTGAGCACACTCCACAGCTGGGGCTTGTGTGTTTGTGTGTGGTGATTCTGCTGTTGTTCTGTGGAAGAGCTCTGGTCCTGACCATTCACTTACCTCTGCACCAGGGCATCGTTCTGGCACTCCTGAAGGAGGCTATGATAGCCAGCCTCAGTGATACCAAAGGCTTCCTGATTGACGGCTATCCTCGGGAAGTGAAACAAGGGGAAGAGTTTGGACGCAAGGTAAGAGTTTTTTACAGGGAGCATCCAGAAAGAGAAATAGGGGACATCATTGAGTTTAGGGTATTAAATTCAGCATCTATCCCTTTTCCAATTATATTAATCGTAATTTTCATTTACAAAAAGGTAAAAAAACAAAGAAGAGGAGACTGGATTAGGGTTGGGGATGGTAATTGGAGAGTGAAACCAAATGTACACGAAACATTTAATGTAAAACAAACTATGCTCTGTAAACTTGCACCTAAAGCACATACACACACACACACACACAAAAGAAAGTTTGATTTAAAAAAAGGAGGGGCTGGAGTGGAATTTATTGACTCCAGTAATGAAAAAGTCCAGGGGTGGTTCCGTCATGGCTAGATCCAGACATTCAAATATGTTCCTCCATCATCTGGCTTTCTCTCATCTCTTAGATTTTCTTTCCTTGTGTCAGCCTCATTTTCGTTCTATTCCAGGCTTATATTCTACCCTATATATTGCAAAAGACCCAGGGTTGAGTTTTATTGTCCTGATTAGGTCATGCAGCCATCACTAGACCAGGCACGGTGGCCAAGGGGAAAATGGAATAGAATGTGCTGCTTGGTCCAGCCTGGAGCACCAGTGGTGAGAAGGAACAAAGTGAGGCACTTCACCTGAACTACATAGACTGAGAGAAGGCAGGGAAATTACCCAAAGGGAAAAAAAATGTAGATGCTCTTGCAACAAAATTGGGGAATGGATATTGGACAGACAGAATCAATAAGTATGTACCACCTCTTCCTCCCTCCCCCTAACTTCCCTAACCCCCATCTCTCCTTCTGAAGGAAGATCCCAGAGGGCTCTGGATCGCTCTCAGGGAAGAGCAGTGAATCATAAGCATCGTTACTGCCATTTATTGAACCTGCTCTGAGCTAGCTACTGTGCTAAAAACTTTGCATACATTATCTCTAATCTTACAAAAAAAAAAAGAAAGAGGGGCACAGTCGTCTACATGTGTTAAAGATTCCAGAACAGAAAAAGAATTAATATTTACTTCAATATCTCTTTAGTTTACAAAACACTTTCACATACACTATCTCATTTTTATTTATTTGGTTGGTTGGTTGGTTGGTTGGTTGGTTGGTTTTGAGATAGATTGTTGTTGTTGTTAGGTGTTGTTGAGTCAATTCCCAACATATAACAACCCTATAAGACAGCATAGAACTGCCCTGTAGGGTTTCCTAGCCTGTAACCTCTACAGGAGCCAGATCTTTTCTCCCATGGAATGGCTGGTGGATTCAAATTGCCACCCTTTTAGTTAGTAGCTGAAAGGTGATGGTTTAAGGACTTCCCCCAAAAAAAGCCAAATTCACCACCATCGAGTTGGATCCTACTCATAGAGACTCCTTCTTGGGTTTCTGAGGCAGTATCGCTACAGAAGTGATTATCCAACCTTCCTTCTGAGGAGTGGCTGGTGGGTTTTAAGCATCAGCCTCTGGTTAGCAATCAGATGCCTTAGGCACTATGCTACCAGAGCTCCTGGATTAAGCCCAGAGAGATTAAATGACTTGTCACATAGCTGGTAAATGACAAAGACTCATATCCATATCTGTATGACTCAACAGTCCATTCTCTTTCTGTCCTTCTGCAACTGCTTGTAGGACTAAGACTGAGAACCCATCTCCATCCATCTCTAACACTGCAGCGTTAGTTAAGGTGGATTATACTTATGTTTAGTTTGACCTCCTTCTGAGCTACTGTTTTTTCCTAGATAGTATCTGGAGGTGTTGGTGGTTCAATGGTAAGACTCCTCACCTTTCACTTTCCATTCCTGACCAAAGTACCTCACGCGTAGCCACCACCCAACTGTTGGTGGAGGCCTGCATGTTGCTGTGATGTTGAAAAGATTTCAGCAGAGCTTCCAGAGTAAGGCAAACTACAAGGAAAAGCCTTTTGATCTACTTCCAAAGTTCAGCCAGTGAAAACCCTATGTACCATGACAATCCGATCCGCAGCCAAGCATGAGGATGGGACAGGATCAGGAAGCATTTTCTTCCATTATTCATGGAGTCCCATGATTGAGGTTGACTCATTGGGAGCCAACAACAACAAGATGGTATTTAAAAGGTGAAAGGATACTGTTGCTCCTCTTTTCCTATGTTTCCTACTTGCCAACAGAGTCAAAGAAAAAATTCCCCAACCATGTATAAGCAGAGTAGTCTAGTTGGCACGGGTGGGCCTTGGCCCTACCTTGGCTATCCTTTGGCCTTTATGGCTCTGCTCAGCACCTCCATCAACAAGGGTGTGGGGAGCAGAGACGAGAGAAGTGGATTTGTGTGGCTTATGACTGTAATGGGTTCCAGGGGCTTTTCTTCAGCCCTATTCCAGAGCTGACTTGGGGAGTATTCACTCTCCAGAATTTTAATGAGTATCTTTCCATGAAACAAACCACTTCAAGAGCTGCAGATCTCAATATAAATCTTTTTTTTTTTTTTTTTTTTTTTTAGCAAATGGAATTAGACTGATTGTTTTTGCATTTTTGTTTTTTCCAATCTCTTAGACAGTTTCCAGACTGTGGACAAGTCCACTGGGGTACAATTTGAGTAGGAGAGGAACGGGGCATTTATGGTAGTGTAATGCCTAAGGCACTTGATTGCTAACCAGAAGGCTGGCAGTTCAAACCCCCCAGCTACTCCTTGGAGGGAAGACGGGGCAATCTACTTCCATAGTGATACTGCCACGGAAACCCAAGGAGGGGTTGCTATGAGTAGAGTCTGACTCGACAGCACATAACAACAACAACAACCTCAGAACTGGTGCATATACTAGTCTGGGGGACTAAGGGGATACACAGATGAGGAAGATATGGTCCAGGCCCTTGAGATTGTTGTTAGCATGGTGGAGACTGGCATGTATGTAAGCATACTCTTAAAATACAATGGAAAAGGTGTTCTAACTGCTTCAGAGGCAACAACATATACTGAAGTTCAGGCTTCAGAGTGGCTGGCATGCTACCTGGTGATTTCACACTTATCTTGTTTGTAAACTTAGGTAAGAAGAGCCCTGGGAGTATCAAGGAGGAGATTGGGAAAACCAAAGGCAGGTGTAACTTTCAAAGGGTGTAACTAACTTTTTAAGCACTAAAACTTCCAGTACTCATTAGGTTTTTGTTGAATTAAAGGCATAACCGAATCTTAGAAGATCGTGTACTTGCTTGAAAATGCTGGGAATTTTTTTTTTTTCAAAAATCTTTTTTTTAAGGGGGCACCAGGTTTGCTGGTCCAACAGAACCTGGTGGAACCACTGAGACTATGGCTCCTAGCTGCCCTTCAGGTCTGGAATTGAACCCACACCTGTGGCTTCCAGCCAAACAAAAGACAGGCATATGAGTTGAACATTTACCTGAGGTAGATGTACTCCTTGGAGAGAACAATCATGGGAGAAAGTAGGGCTGTTTATGCACAGGGAGGCAGCTCAGGGGGCAGGAGTGCATGGAGAGATGGACACAGGGAAGAGGTAACTATCAGGAGGAAGTGGGAGGGGAGCTGTTGCATTGTGGTAAAGTGTGGTCAATGTCATGAGACGAAGTGTATGTAAACTGTTGTATGGAAAGTGAATTTGCTCTGTAAATTTTCACCCAAATCACAATTAAAAAAAAAAAAGTTAAGTAAAAAAAAAAAAATCCTTTTGTTAAAATGCTATCAGAGGTAATATAACTTTCTTTAAAAACCCCAAATAGTCAAGGATCATTTATATACAAGTGTGGTAAATAAGACATATAGTAAAGATGAGCATCTTTGTGTATGTGTGTATGTGTGTGTGTGTGAAAGGGTGGAGGTCAAATACTAAGTGCAAACAACAAAAAAAATATGGTAATCTTTAGTCTCCTTTTGGGGCTTGTGGTAGTTAAGTTTGTGTGTCAACTTGGCTGGGCTGGTTGAGTGGGTGGATGTAGTATTCTTCATGATGAGACTGGTAATCAGCTCCATGGTGGGACCTACAACAAGCAGCTGAGTAGCTGCCTTAGGGATGTGGTCTGCTTCCTGTATATAACGAGAAGTCTTGGGGAATGGTGGCAGCTTATGGTGTGCTTGAACCCTGCATGTAGCCATGTCATTGTTCAGCAGCCTACAATGCTCTGCCAATCCTGGGACTTTTAATGGACTTGAATTAATGGCCTGCTGTGTGGTTTGGTAACATGGGGATTGTGCCTTTTTACTTGTCGACCTTGGGCTTGTCAGCCTCAGCAGCCAGCAGCTGTCTGAGTGAAGAAAAGCCTCTAGCTTCAGTGGGCCGGAAGCAGGAGGCAGAGTTGAAGCTTAAGGTTGAGGGGCGTTCACCCAGTCCCTAGAGCCTGGCACTTTGAACTCAGACTTAAATTCTCCAAATTGTAAGAGTATAAACTCCTGTTTGTTCAAGCATCCCATTTGCGGTATATTCTTATCAGAGTGGCACTAAATGTACGCACTGCTGTTGAGTCAGATCCAACTCATAGCAACCCCTCCTTGGGTTTCCAAGGCAGTATCACTACAGAAGTAGATTGCCCAACCTTCCTTCCAAGGACTAGCTGGTGGGTTTGAACCACCAACCTTCTGGTTAGCAGTCAAATGCCTTAGGCACTATGCCACCAGAGAGCGACACTGTTGTTGTTGTTGTTGTTGTTATGTTCTGTAGAGTCGGACCCAACTCATAGCGGCCCCTCCTTGGGTTTCCAAGGCAGTATCACTACGGAAGTAGATTGCCTCATCTTCCTTCTGAGGTTCAAACCCACCAGCCTTCTGGTTAGCAGTCAAGTGCCTTAGGCACTAGGTAACCAGAAAAGGGCTCTTTAAACTGGATCTGAAGGCAAATCCTAGGATTTAGGCCTGTAGGTTGCAGACTGGTTTGAGCAATGACAGCACTATTGGGATCCATGTAGAGCCTCCCAAGGTGACATCTTTAAAGGACATCACTCATGTGGTCCAAGAACTGGGATCTGGAGTCAAAAAATTGGATTTTCACCTCTGCCACACATTAGTGTGACTCTATATATGTCACCTGTG